GTGAGCTATCGGCTTGAAAACAACAATACCACCAACTTCTATGCATTATCCTGCTCAGAATCGAACGAAAAATCCTGACAACGGCGCATCGTTCACAAATTCCATCGCAACGAGTTCTTTTTTCCCTTTCCTTCCCTGTTAGATAACAAACGTTTAATATGTTCATTCTAAATTTTTGGAGATATCATTTCGAGAAATATATACAACCACAAATATCTTGGATAATCCAACTGCTATAACAAGAACGTACACTCCCCTTACTTTACGAGAGTTTTCTAAACATTATTTGCAGCCTCTCGAAAAGATCAGCCAACTGCATTAGATATTCAAACCGTATGCAGGAAAAAAAACCCCGCGTTTACCCCCTAGTTATATATGTACCACATATGAAAGCGCCATTACTTTAGGTTTTATTCCCGATATTTTCGATTAAGTGAATTGAAATTTGTTCTCACGATTCAAAGCACTTTTGCCAATTTGACTAAGAAAAAATCATTGTCCAGTGTTGCGAACTTACTGTAAAGTTGCCGAGTTATCGCCTCAAGCGCAATATGTCAAGCTATCATCAATGAAGGTGATCAGAGCTGCGGCTCTCTAGCCTATATTAGGCTATGCCCTGCGTGAGCTGCCGTATTTGCACGGCGATTTCGTTGGTGTGAGCTCTGCTTGCAATTTCTTGTAGGTATACTGGAAAGGTTGCGTGAGAAGACTTAAATTTTGGAATTCGCCTCTAAGCTTAGCATTTCTATACTCGTGTTTCTTCCACAACATTGCCCTATTCCCGCAAAAATTGTTTACCTAAAGGCGCCTATATTACACTATCGGTTTGCAGGTGAGCATGTAACAATTCATTCTTTTGAGAGTTAGCAGAATGGTCGATCGTATGACCCGTAACCTCTGGTACTTCTAGAATTTCGATTCTGTGACTTAACACCACTTATAGGAATATAACTATTCTAAATCCAAGTTGTTCTGCATAGTGTCATTTTGAGATAGTTGCTACATTTAGGCCAAGACCTGGCCAGCCACTTTATGACGCAAGCGACGCAGCTATGGGATGCACAAATGACTCTACTTGTCAAAGTGTAATGGCTGTTAGCAGTTGTAACACTACATTAGGTCTTTGTGAAGCAATTCCTCGTAAGTTCGTAACCTGAGAGAAATACAGTGGCGCATCGATATTGAAATGACCTTTGTAGCTACTAATACGGCTCCTACAACGACTACACCAAAAACGAATCCAAGCGAAATGACAAACGAAATTCGGAACAGAATGCTTACTATGCACAACTGGCGCAGGTGAAGTAGAACCCCTTGATGTTAGAGAAATTCACGCACTTTTTGCACTGACATCAATTCTCCTCGTAGTGGAACTCTGACGACGTTTTGATGCAAGTGCAAAACCTCGTCGGTCTGTTCTATGATACGTTGTTTGTACCCATGCGTCAAAAGTTTGTATGATTATTGCTTGTATTATCAGAGTACTTTTCAGATCACAGCTTGCACTGGGAAATATTAGAAATGGAAAGCAAGGAAATCGCAATCTTCCAACTGCACAGAATATGTTAATGATGGTAGATAACAGCACTGCTAGTCAAATTGCAAAGCTGAGTAGAAGGAGAATTGATCTGACTTTACAGAGATATGATATGACTCTGGAGAGAGAAGCACAAGCATACGCGAGCA